TAACTAAACTGTGGAACCAACCCAGATGCCCTTCAGTGATGAATGGATAAAGAAAATGTAGTATATATACACAACGGAATATTATTCATCATTAAAAGAGAACAAAATCATGGCATTTGTAGGTAAATGGATGGAGTTGGAGAATATATTGCTAAGTGAAGCTAGCCAGTCCCAAAAAACTAAATGCCTAATGTTTTCTCTGATTTAAGGATGCTAATTGATAATGGGATTGGGGGGGACATGGGAGGATTAGATGAACTCTAGGTAGGGCAAAGGGGAAGGAAGGGGAAGGCGGGGGCATGGGGGTAAAAAAGATGGTGGAATGAGATGGACATCATTACCCTAAGTACATGTATGAAGACACAAATGGTGTGACTCTACTTTGTGTACAACCAGAGATATGAAAAATTGTGCTCTATATGGTTAATATGAATTATAATGCATTCTGTCACATATAACAAATTAAAATTTAAAAAAAGAACAAAAGATAATCACAAGTATTGAAAGGATGCAGAGAAATTGGAATATTCATATATTATTGGTGGAATGCATAATGGGGAAGCCAATTTGGAAAATTGTAGTTCCTCAGAAGTTGAACATGAAGTTGTCATGACTCAGAAATTCCACACCTAGGTGCATTACCAAGAGAAATGAAAATGTGACATAAACACATGCGCATGAGTATTCAGAGAAGTGTTATTTGTAATATCTAAAAAGTGAGAAAAAAACAAAATGTTCATCCATGGATGCACAGTTAAATAAATTGCAGCATATCCATGCAATGAAATATTATTTATAAATAAAAGAACTGAAGTATGGATTCAAGCTATAATCTTGAAAAGGTTATGCTGAGTGAAAGAAGTCCTCCACAAAGGACAATATACTATGTTATTTCATTTTTATGAAATATACAGAATAGGCAAATCTATTGAGACAGAAAGTAGTTTAGTGGTTGCTTACGGAGGGTGTGGGGAGTGGCTGCTAACATATTAATGATTTTAGAGTTGGGGTGATAAAAAGTTTCTAAAAGTGATTATGCGATAGTTGCACAACAGTAAATATGTGAAAATTCATTGAATTGCCCACTTTAAATGGATGCATTATATGATATATGATTTCAGTCTCAATGCTATCACTTTTTTTTGTTTTGTTTTTTGGTACTGGGGGTTGAACTCAGGGGCACTCAACCACTGAGTCACAACCCCAGCCCTATTTTGTAATTTATTTAGAGACAGGGTCTCACTGAGTTGTTCAGCACCTCATTGTTGCTGAGGCTGGCTTTGAACTCGTGATACTCCTGTCTCTGCCTCCCAAGCTACTGGGATCATAGGCCTGCTCCACCATGCCCGGCTCAAAGCTATTACATTTTTGTAAAGTTGAGATACTTGATATCAAATCCCCTCTCTCCTTTTCTTCCTTCCATCTAATTTATAAGCCTGGGATAAAATATGTTTGGTCTATGAATTAAGGTATGATTATATGTCAGTTGAGTTAATAAGAAAAGAAAGCAAGCTAAAAGTGGAAAATTCATTTAATGAAAGGGGCTATAGGAAAAGAGAGAGGAACGGGTCTCCCTAATGACATTTATTCTTTTTTTCATTCAACACGTATTTATGGGACATTTGTTAAACATTTATGGCACTATAATAGGTGCTGCTTCATGATTTCAAAGCAACATAGTTTATTTTCCACAGCATATACCTGAGACAAAGTTTCAAATGTTTTAAAACCAGTCTGTCAAGGCTATCGCCTCCCTCTTTTTTCTAGCAAGCCATTTACAGAAGCTGACTTTGGTCTTTCACAAATTGCTTAAAAAGATAAAACACACAATCACATTTGGAAATCTCTTGATATTTACATAAATACGAAACACTTTGTTGGAAAATGTGTAAGATACCTGTGTGTCTTGAACAATGTCCAAACTTGTTTGATAGCACCGTCAGGAATCTTAGAGCCACAAGGAGTGGGGTGTGGAGAAGCCACGTTGGTCTTTTGGTCCTTCCCTCCACTACAGGGGCTGACACATATATCTACTTTGGTTTAGGGGAGGCTGGACACCTGATCAACTGAGGTAAGTGGCCAATGTCAGCCCAATGGTCCTGGAGAAACTCACAAATTATCAAAGAGCTTTGGGTGGGGGGACTCAGGTCTGTCAGGATCAAATCAGAGCTCATCTATCTTCAGAGAAAACCCAACCTTGGATCAGTGTGATTGAAAAGTGTTGTCTGAGCCCTATTCCAGGTCTTCCGAGCCTGTAGCTGTTATGGTAGGTCAGATGAGCCCTGAAAGTTTGCAAAGTATTGTCTATCACTGATCTCAGATCTGATATGGATTTCTAAGGTCCCTCTAAAAGTGAAGAGAACTCAGTTTTTATAATTCAGGACTCCCATGTTAGAAAGAATTGCCTGGGCTCTTCTGGTTTATGATTAGGTCTTTAGAACTTGGAATCTTATAGAACTTTAGCACTTATGGAATCAAGTTCTGGAGATCAGATACGTGGGTGGAGAAAGTTTCCCTTCACATCATCTATAGTTTAAGGAAAATTCCTTTCATTTATCCTTGGTGGGTTAACCCAATTATCTTCCTTCTGGAATTAGCAGAAAAGTTGGGAAATAATCCAGGGAGGGAAGCATCTATACCTATTCCTAGCAGATTTTACGCCAATGGAACAAAAAATATTTAGAAAGGTGAAATTTTCCTGGGGAAAAATAATGCAAATTTAAAACAAAAATAAAGGGAACAAATTTGAACCAATAATTCAGCCATTCAATTGTATGCATTATTAGGCAAAAAAGTTTTTTTAAAAAAAATTCAGATTCTGAATTTTTAAAATTATTTACCAGTATTCATGATTCCTTTGGTATCTTATTTTCTTTAATTTGCGCAACATTATTTATTGAGAAATTATACTTTTTCAGAAAAATAGCTGAAATTTTGTTATGTGCCTTGAAGTTTTTAAGGGTGAGTACAGGAAAGAAAGGGAAGAACGGAACAGGAAAGGCAAGACTGTGTCCGTGTTTATCCCCTCTTGATTTTGAGGATGCACTTTTATTTAATTGCTTGGATACCTCTGAGAGATCCTTCCTTCCCAGGGCAGGAAGTGGGCTCCATAGAATTCAACAGACCACCTTCCTTTACAGAGGTAGCCAATTTTGAACAATAGATGTCTGTCTCCACCACCAGCCCCATGTTCTGAGAGTACTATTTGCTTTCAGCCACACAACAAAGGCTGATTTGCCTCCTTTCCGACTGAGTCAATGTTTGCTGGAGCTTTAAAAACACCTTTCATAAATCCTTAGAAATCTTTTGTGAGGAACAATTCAGTATTTCAAAGTAGTGATCCATTGCTCTCATGATTCATGGCACGGAGACGCCTCCCCATCTTCCTGAATCAGATGAGGCTTGATATTCCTTCCTCAAGATAAATACCTTATAAGGGCTTCCTTGTCCTGAGGAGCCGTGAGGTGTGGGCCTCCTGACAGAGTCTCACGTGCAGATGTGTTTCATCTCAGGGGAAACATTTTAAAAGCAATACTGGGATTCATATACAGATTCTCCTCTACTTACGATTTATCACATTCTGATAAACCCATCATAAGTTAAAAACATCAGTGAGTTAAAAAATGCATTTAATACATCAAACCTGCTGAACCTCATGGTATCAGTTATTGACCCCATGACTTCATGGCTGCCTGGAGCTGCCACTCAGCATTATAGACAGTCTCATACGGCATCTCACTAGCCTGGAAAAGATTCAAGTTCAATATTCTAAGGGAAATTTCTACTGAATATGTACTGCTTCCACGTCATCATCAGGTCAAAAATCATTAAGCCAAACCATCATATATGGGGGCTACACGAGAGTCTAATCATTTAAAAATACAGGTATCCTTTGAAGATCTCCTACAGCAAACTTAGGACACTAAACTAAAAATATATCAACTCAGGCTCAGGGGCTAGTCTCAAGCATTTCTAAAGAACTTAGGTCTCTGAAGTGGCACTTTGACCTTCAGTTTGATGTTTGTTTTTTACTCAAATGGCTAGTTGGTCAGGGACTGGGATCCAGCTCCGTCAGGCTCTCCCCATTCCTGAACCCCACCATTTCCTTTGGGACTCTATGTTATTCAAGGATTTCCTTTTGCAGCTGTTAAGCAAGTATTGCTTCAGGGCTACTGGTGCATGGAGCTTATGTCCAATGTGTCACCAGTCCAAGCAATGAAGTAAGATTTCTGCTAGCATGTTCATATTCTCTTTGCCTGCTCTGAATTGGCACGACAAATATTACTGTTGTTTGCCCCAAATCAGGAGCCAAAGAGTGGTGGTGTTTGAAGAAGTTGTCATATGGGCAGATGGGTGGGCAGGCAATCTAACACTCCTTTAACTTGAGGGTCTGCTATTTCCAAGGCTTCATACCATGATATTCTGTGTGATAAATCTCATAGAAGTGCATATCTGTTCCTAGCTTTTCTTCCCTTCAAGGGAAGGGAGAAGGTATTGAGCACTAAGACTTTGGGAGGGGACCCAGGTCTTTCACCTTGTTCTATGAGTTCTCCAGTCCCCATGGGTTTTTTGTTGATACATGATCCCTGCTAGGATATGTCCTTCCTGGGACTTTGTATAAGATGGCAAAACTATGAGCTGGGTCAGAAACAGCAGACATTGCTTTCATGTAGAACTTCTCCTTTCTGGAGTGGAAGCGTCAGTACAGGATTGTGGTCACAGACCTCAAGGATGGCTCCTGAGTGTATACAGGGAACAAATAAGGGCCTGGTCTGAGAAGCAATTTTGTGCAAGGTAGGACAGAGAGGGACCCAGGATGAGCACAGACTATCCACTCCAAGTTTGGTTGCTTCAGGACACACCAGTGCTGAGCTACTCAAGTAGCTCATCTTGAGGAATTATTTGAAAATAAAGGAGAAAACTGCATAAATCTAGACAAATGAAAATATAGGATTTGCCTACTTTGGGGAAAAACAAAGTTTAGAACTTTTTTTTTAAAAAAAAAGTATGGACATTTATGGGTAGAAGTATCCTAGAACAATATATTTACAGTGTACATGGCCTTGATTGTGTTAATGAAGCTATTATTCACACAGAAACTGGGAAACATTCCACTTTGGAGGCACACTTTGCTGACAGCATTTTTGGGACGGACAATATGATCAATATGCAAACAGGAAGAAGAGAATCAAGGCCAGTGCACAGCTGTTTGGCTGGACAGAGGAGGCTGAGCTGGCCGGGTCCTTCAGCATGCATACCACCCTGGACCAGGACCCATTGTTGGGCAGCGGGGAGATGCCAGCCATGCTGCACATGACGTTGTAGACGTCCACGGATCTGATGGGAGCAGCTCTGAAGTTGGATTTGAAATCTGGAAGGAAAAGGAAAACAAGCGGGTCGTCATGGTTGGTAACCTAACTGAGAGGAGCTGAATCAAATATGGAAGAAATCTACTCAGACTCCAGGCAATTTGGAGACTGCAAAATCCTCTCCATCAATGGGTATGGCCAAGTGAATGTGAATGTGAAAAGCTCTAGGTCATGGAAAAAAAAAAAAAAAGCCATAGCTTTTGATGGCTCATAGATGAACTCTTTAAAAGACAAGTCAAGAGACTTTCTTTGTGCCTAACTGTGCTTCCTTTGTAACAACAGATCTTTCCTGCAGGGGCAGAAGGCCCAGCTGAAGCTGCACTATTTCTACAGAGCCCTGGAGAGCCACTGTGGCCAAAGAAGATAGATTGTCTTCCTGGGCTCCCCTTAAATTGTACACATATGTTCTGGAACATCTTTCTGGCTGGACTGAGAGCCAGGGTGCCGGTATCTGCTGCATAACAACTCAAGAATGTTTCTCCATTTTCCTGCCACATAAAGGTCCCTCTTGATGGAATGAGAAGCTGTATCATGTCCTTGGTGTTGCCAGCTCACCAGGAATGACAAGATTTTTCTAAGTAGGTTTAGAAGATCTAATTCTGTGCCTCTACTCAGAACCTACCCCAAACTTGGGCTGTAATACTAGAGTGTAAAGAGCAAGACCGGTCACTAAGATGCACTTAAGGTGACTTGATAAACCATAAGCCATTGGAGGGATTTTAATCGAGATCACCTTCTCCTTCTCCTCTGGAGGTGAATGAGGTGCTGAATACAAAGCACTTGTCCATCAAAGGGGAATGAAAGGAAGGGAGCAGGTTGGGAAGAGGAAAGACAGTAGAATGAATCAGACATAATTTACTGTGTTCATATATGAATACATGGCCAGTGAAACTCCACATCATGTACCAGCCAAGAACGGGATCCTAGTTAGAATAAGTTATACTCCATGTATGTGTAATATGTCAAAATACATTCTACTGTCATGTATCTCTAAAAAGAACAAATTAAAAAAAATTTTTACCACTTTTCAATTTGAAGAGTGAAAATAAGAGTGTAGTAATAACAAGCAACTTTGTTTTTAGGTCCCCAACAAAATACCCGAAGCTCCGTTAGGGCTAAATTCACAGAAGAGATTTGATTCATGAATACAAGCCAGTGCTTTCGGTTCAAGATTTTTAAAAGAAATAGGTTGTTTTGGTGGGACTACAAAATCAAGTTTCTATCTCAGAAAATAACCTTTATAATTACTTTGCTAAAATGATCACATAGGCTACTTAAAAAGGAAACAAACAACAATAGCAACATATTCTTGAAGCACCAACACCAACCTCTGCTCCTGGGATTACAAACATGAAAGAAAGTTATATACAGAAAACTCTGTCACACGGTGTGTCAGATCCAGGGCAACTTCTGATGTGTTGGGTTTTCCTTACTTTGGAGAATTAAGATTGAATTAAGTGTAAAGAGGTGCAAGGGCTCAACAGGAAGTGGTACCCAGATCCTAGGTCTAGACACACTGCAGGTGCTTAATAAATGGCAGCCATTGTTATCAATCAACATGTATAATAAATTTCCAGCAAGGGAAAACCTTGGATTGAAAATGTTTGCCTTATAAATTATTTAGAAGGCTGGGCATGGTGGTGCATGCCTGTAATCCCAGTGGCTTGGGAGGCTGAAGCATGAGGATCATGAGGTCAAAACCAGCCTCAGTAATTTAGTGAGGACCTCAGCAACTTTGCAAGACACTGTCTCAAACAAATAATAACAAAATAAAAAGAGCTGTGGCTCAGTGGTTAAGTGCCCCTAGGTTCAATTGCTGGTACAAAAAAAAAAAAAAAAAAAAAGAGAGAGAAAAAATTTTTTTAGGGGGTTTAGGTTTTTTTTTTTTTTTTTTTTTTTGTCTTGTTTGTTTGTTGAGTATTTTTGGAGCAGGAAGGATAAGGGTCAGCACTACTTCAAAGTCAAAACTAGTTTCAAAAAAATTAATAACCTGCCTGAAGGAGAAATGAAGGGGCTACTTCAGCACCCTCTTTAAATAGATAAGGTTGGTGACTGCACTTCCCCATCAGAAGAATCCACTGCAGCTTGAGAAATCAATGGAACATTTGTCCCAGTGGTATGGAAGCCACTCTTCTCTCTCCTTCTGATTCACCATGTGACCTGGATGTGACAATCACACTCCCCATCACTCGTGGTATGTCACATGTGGGAGGTAGGGCATGAGAGCTGTCCTTCCCTAGCCTTTCAAAAATCCACTTTTTTTTTTTTAACACTTCACAGAAAAAAAAAAATCAAGCTCAGCTTCTTCTGACAAAAGTGTTAGGATAGATTATCTTTTCTATTTTCCCTTCAAAGTACAAAACTAAATCCTGTGCACATAAGCAGGAAAGAGAATTGGGTTTTCTTTCCCATCTAGTTTATGGTTTCCTTGTTCTTTGGGGATGGAACTTTGGGGCCCAAATGTAGAGATGATCCAGGCTAGATTGAAAGCTTCTAGAAAATTCTTGAATAGCTGAACAGTGTCCAGTCCAGTTTGGGAGAACCCCGATAAACTCCACTAGCTCAAAATGGCATTCTGAACCTAGAATGGGACTCCATGTTATTCCCATGGGTTTGCATACTTCTGGATATAAAAGGTATCTCCCGAAGAGAGAAGGATCTGCAAGCTTATGCTGTGCCTGGCCACCTTGAATGAGGCTCCCTGCTCATGGTGGCTGTGTGAATTGCATTCCTGCTGTCTTATCTTGAATGCAGAGTTCTCTAGGGCAAGATTAGGCTGTTCAAAAATTAGAAACCGGGATTAACCAGAGAAGCTATCTTCAGAATTATTTCCCTTTCTCTTTGCTGGGCCAGATTTACTCACTTCTAAGGCTGGTTATTGGGGCAGCCGCAGTAATGCCCAGCTCCCTCCCTAAGCAAGAAGCACAGACAATTAATCAGGAGGGATGCACCTTTATCTCCAAGTGCAGCTAGATAGCTATTAAAGGCCTCACTCTTAAATTTCCTTCTGAGTAAACAGTCCATGTGCAAAGCTGTTTAATCTTTCATGAGACTTGGTGCCAGAAACGTGACAGTTTGTGAGAGGCTCTCAAGGCTGTATCTGCCTTTTGCAATTAGCTCAGTCCATTTTCATCAGGGGTTGTCTTTCTGTTGGTAAGATCGAGGACTTTTAGTTTTAAAAGAGCCTATAGTGGAGGTCTTGGTTAATGGACAAAATCTCCCCATTGAATTTAACTCTAATTTAATGCAGCTTTGGGTACTTCACGTAGAAATTTGGGTTTGGGGCTAGATTTGGTTCTGCTTTAAAATATGTGTAAGACTCTTGCTCACATACACTCCTTCAATGGACAAGTGTTTTGCATTCACAATATTACTTGCCTCTTCTAGTGAAGGAGGAGGCAACGCTTATTGATTGAAAGCCCTGATTACTGGTGTTTTCCCCTATGAAGTCAAAAGCCTTGGACCATCTCCTATGGATCTACAGTTGACCCCAGTCTTGGAGTCTCCATTCTTAATTGCTTTAACCTCAGAGCTCTGCATGACGACCCAGGGCGTGGTTAACAGGGGGCACCTGATAACTTTCACTGGTCAATGGCAATGTGCTCAGACAACCAGTGAATTCATAGGTCAACACCATGGACGCAGCTAGTGCTCTATGTATGTTTGCTGCTGCTGGTTCTTATGCCCACTTTGGGACTTGGGAATTTGGATCACATGAGGTAAAGATTTTGGACCAATGTATCCCCCAGACTCAGACTCTCAGAGGCTTTCCTGGAGGTTGCAGAAACTGACACCTCATTGTTCTTGAGAGAGATTTTGTGGCAAGTAGAGTGATCCAAGGCAGACCAAGGGACATGGGGAAGTTGACTTGTCCTTGGTTTTGTTACAGTGAAGAGCAGAGTGTACCGATGGGATGTTCAACCTATAATTGGAAAGGGACATGCGGACTTTCTTGGATTGAAACATTTTTAAAATATTTTTTTAGTTGTAGATGGATACAATATCTTTATTTTATTTATCTACTTTTATGTGGTGCTGAGAATCCAACACAGTACCTCTTGAGTGTGAGGCAAGCGCTCTACCACTGAGCCACAACCCTAGTCCCTGCACTGAAACATTTTGATCAACATCTAGAAAAAGGCATCTGGGACCAGGCACCAGGGGTTAATTATATATATAAGTATATATATTTATAAATATATATTTATATATGCATATATATATATAATATTTTTCTTTTTTGTAAATTTGGAGGCAAGGTCTAAGTTTGTTTAGGGCCTCACTAAGTTGCAGAAGCTGGCTTTGAACTTGTGATCCATCTGCCTCAGCCTCCGAAACTGTCAGGATTTCAGGCACACACCACTGTGCCTGGTCCCAGATGCCTTTTTCTAGATGTTGATAAAAATGTTTCAGTCCAGGAACTGGGGTTGTGGCTCAGAAGTAGAGCATAAAGATATCGTATCCATCTACAACTAAAAAATATTTTTAAATGTAAATATATATATACATATTATATATAGCATATTATATATAGTATATATATATGCTGGTATTTGGCTCAGTGCATCCCTGGGTTCAATCCCTAGGACAGAAAAAAAAAAAGGCACTTGGGATATAAACATTAGGGTAATTATATTTAGAGAGGAGAGATGGACATTAGTAAGGAAGAAGAGTAGATTATGAACTAATCAACTGATGGTTGGTGGCTATTGAGTGCTTTTTTTCCTTTTTTATTTTGAAAGAATGAGGTGTTCAATAGTAATGTGTAGTTAGAGTATTTGGTAAACTTTTCCAAAGTGTGAATTTACAGTGTCCTATCAATTAAATCAAATGACCAAATAGGCCCTCTCCATCTCCCCTTTCCTCCAGCACTTTGGAATACAATCTGATTAAAGAAGGTTCAGCAAATTTACTTCCATCCAAGACTTCCTTAGTCATTCTGGCTCAGAGTCAATCCCAAGGTCATTTCTGAGCCTGCCCTTGCACACATCCCAGCTTCTGGTTGGGCCCTAAACTGAATTAACCCACAGGGGTGGGTGCTCTAGACAGGGAGGGACCATGTAAAGGTCAGAGCAAACGAAGCAATTGCATCAATTTGGAAACACAGCTGTCAGCAACATGGTATCCCGTAAGCTTTCCTGGACTTCAGATAGCTGTGAAGCAACGTTTTGATGAATTAAGTAAAAAATGAATCACAAACATGTGGAATACATTTTCTTCATTGCACTCAGGATTTAAAATTTACAAGGAAAAGTATTTGGCCACAACTGCCAAACCCAAGAAGCATTTGAAAGGAAGCCAGCAAAAGATGTTTCATGGAGACCGGCTGGGTTTGCTCAGCTTGGCTCATAAAGAGGGTCCATAAAAAGATCACTCGGTGACGAGTCCCTTTTAGAGCACCTCTCTGGGAATAGCTAAGAGGATTGGGTCATGTCCTTGCCTACCAGGTCCAAAGGCCAGGAAGATGCCTCTCATGTCCATGAGCTCGTTGTCATATCCGTGCCATCCATGCTGCCAGCCTTCCCGCCTGCCTGTGCTGTTCATCCAAAACGGAAGCGCCTCTCGACTCTGAAATCGAGCAAGACAATGACGTTATGCTGTGTCACCACAATTGTGATGACTGGGCATCAGGCCAGACTGCCCCACAGTGGGGACATTCCCTCCTCGGCACCCCAGCTTGGGTCATCAGCCACAATGGCATCACCCCCTGATCCAGGTAGCTCACACCTTTGGCTGCAGCCTCTTAAACTGCTGCAGAACTTCAGCTGGAAGGTATTTTCTTACATGGAACTGAACTGCACCTTCTAATCAGTTTTAGAACTACTAAATCCAGCATGTTAGGGACAGAAGGGAGGTTAAAGTGTGTCTGTGGTATAATAAAATATATATTTGGTTTTTGTCCTAGGTTCCTGACATAGAGCTCCTAAAACCCTTGGAATTTCCTGAATCATAAGAGTGCTTTATGTTATTCATAATGAAACCCTTCCTCCTATATCAGTCTATGCTAGTAAGATGAGTTGTGGGGTTGGGGGACGCTAAATAGCTTTGGGATGAGGACTGATCACCAGAGGAATGAAACTTGTGATGAGAAGGTCAGGACTTTCAGCCTTGTGCCGTCTCACTGGGGAGGGTAACGGTGCTGGAGACTGGATTGAATCATGTGATCAATGATTTAGCCACTCACTCATGCCTACACATGGCATCCCATACAAAACCCTGGGGTAACGGGTTCCAGGCAGCCTGCAGGGAATGGAAGCTCCGTGACCCCCACTTTTCATGCTTTATTATTGACATCTCCTCCATCTGATTCTTCCTTTATAATAATACCGTAATTACAAGTGTAACACATTCCTGAGTCCTGTAATTTATTCTAGTGAATTATCAAACCTGATAAGTAGGGTTGTGAGAACCCTTGAATTTGTTTCTTTTAAACTTTTTTATTGCAATATTATTATTACACATAAGAGTGGAATTCCTTGTTACCCATTCACACATGTGCACATGTAATGGTAGAATTGGGTCACTGGATCCCCAATATCTCCCCTTCCTTCCCCCACTTCCTCCCTTGGTCCCTTTCCTTTACTCTACGGGTCTTTCTTCTGTTTTCATGAGATCTTCCATGAAGATCTCTATCTTGCACATATGAGAGAAAACATATGACCTTTGACTTTTCTGTGTGGTTTATTTCATTTAACATCATGCTTTCAGGTTCTATCCATTTTCCTGCAAATGACATAATTTCATTCTTCCTTATGGCTAAATAGAATCCTTGAATTTGTAGCCAAATCAGACTCAAGTGCTGGCAGCCAGGGAGCCAGGACTTGCACAGAATGGCTGAATCCTGTGGGACTGAGCCACCTCACCTGTGAGGCCTACCATAACTCTGGGTATTAGTGTCAGCACTGAATGGCATGGTAAGATACCCAGGTGAGGCTGAAGTGTTGTTGGAAAACAGTGTATATACATTGCTAGCAAAGCCACTGAAACCTGCAGGGGCTCACTCACTACTGTCCCTTTGCCCCTCCACCCCGTCCTTCTTTCCTTCTGGCTCCACCTCAGGAAAAGCACAGAGCCTCTTCTCCTGCATTTAGTCAAATATCCAGAAATGACATCCAAGGTCCTCTGAGGCAGGCCTGTGTCCCTTCACTTCCCTCAGTCATTCTTCATTCGGGATGGATTCCGGAACCATCACTTCTCTGTCACCTTAAGAACCCGATGTTCTTAGACTGCAGGTGCTTACTGTGAATCCTGAGGAGGTGCAGTCTGTTGAATGCAACCCTGGCCATTTTGTTGCAGAGTAACTAACTATTCATTCCTGATATTCCAATCGTCTTCCTGCTGAGCAGGGTTTAATATTACAAATATTTCAAATGCAGGAGATTGATCAGTTGGTTTTGATGACAAGTTGAATCAAAACAACAAAACCACTAGCAATTTCTAGGCTGACTTATAAGATTACTACTAGTAGTATCATGTACTGAGTGAACCATACAGTTCACCAGGAGCCAACCCTGATGTTCACTTAGTTGTCACAATATCTCAGTGTGGATGACAGTACTATCCCCATTTGCAGGAACTATTTGCAGGAACTATGGCACAGAGAGTTTAAGTGATACTCTTGGAGTCACACAGCTAATGAAGGGGAGTGCTGGGTTTGAACCAGGCTTGTCTCCCAGTCCTGTGTACTTTCCAGAGTTTACAGATAGAAGCCATTGCCCTGCTCGTGCTGGAACTGGACAGTGAGGTGAAGTGTCCCCTTGTTCCCTATGGATTCATCCACTGTGTGTGACCAGGTACAAAGTACAGAGATGAGATTTTGGAATTGTATTGGCTGTGGGGTTCAATTCCAGTTTCTACTCTCTAGCTCTGTAACCCTGACAAGCTACTTATCTTCTCTGAGTTTCACTTTGCTTGATGTATACAGGGTTGATAATACCCACATTACCAGGGTTTTGGAGTACGGCATGACCATGTGCTAAGTGCCCAACACACAGTAGGTGCTCAACAAATTGCTGCAATATGGTCACCAGATGCCACTGGCTGTGGCGAGGCACTCTGGTTACAAAAGCTGAACTCTCCCTTGCTTATTTAGCTGTCATATCACATTGCACACCCATCCGGTCTCACCCCATAAATCGCTCCTTAGCATTTCTGCTTTCCAAATTGCACTATTTCATTGACTCTCCATTTCCTGAATTTCCATCATCCCTTGTCCCTCCTTCTCCAGCTGTAGCTTGTATTTTTCCATGGACATGCTTTATGAACTTACTGCATCTCTAACTTTATACTGTTCTTTAATCTATCTATGGAAAGGATCACAACACATCCCAATTTAGCTTTGTCAGCTAACTTAATGTGTTGCTTCCCTCCTTACAGCCCACAGGCCACGGCAGTGACTCCCGAAGCACTAAGTAGAACATTTTTGTTATTGATGACCTTACTAATAATGAACCCCATAATAGATATGTACCCCATAACACAGGGGTTGGTCAAGGGTATGAGGATCATTCGCCTGATTAAAAAATTACAGTCTAGCTGGATGAGGTGGTGCACACCTATAATCCCAGTGGTTTGGGAAGCTGAGGCAGGAGGATCATGAGTTCAGGGCCAGCCTCAGCAACTTAGTGAGGTACTAAGCAACTCAGTGGGACCTTGTCTGTAAATAAAATACAAAAAAGGGCTGGAGATGTGGCTCAGTGGTTAAGCACTCCTTAGTTCCATCCCTGGTACCAAAAAAAAAAAAAAAAAAATTACAGCCTAAAAATTGCAGTTATTCATGACACAAATAAATGCAAAACAACAATGAAAACCTCAGCCCTGAAGGTGATTGGAGATCTGTCTGTCAGAGGCAAATCCACTCGATTTTACTAAAGTGACAAGTTACCCCAGCAAAAGGCTCTTTTTCCTGATATAGAAAAATAATAATAAACTGGTTCTATGAGAAGGTAATATTTCATCTAAGTGATTGGATGGAGTATATCTCATGCATATGTACATTATATGTTACATTAGGTTCAAAAGAGTGCTCTGATGATTTCCTTCCTTCTCCAAATGGCTCTCATAATCCTTATATTGTTTCCCATGTTATCTTTTCAAGGCACACATATGGTGCTATGCCAGTGAAGTGTGTCACACACCTCTCAGCCTCCAGAGTGGGAACCCCTACCCTGTGGGTCCTCAGGCTGTCCAGACTGTGCCAGACCTTTGGACTGCCACCTAGTGCCACCTAGTGCCACCTAGTGACTTCCAGTGAAAGTGCCCACACCCTCCATCTGGCCAAAGGGATGTGTGTAGAGAGGAAACCAGGAGGTGAGTGTAATCAAGTTGGATCACTCAGGCAGCCAGGCTCATGGTCGTGGGGACAGCTAATTCCCAGGGTTATAGGAAACACCCCTCCTCTAACAGCTTGTCCTAGAAGAGGGTGGTGCCCCACTAATAAACTGATGGGGGAGGAAGGATTGGGGTGCTCTAGCCAGCATTGGGACGTGCACTGAGCTCTGGATCTGTGCCAGGTTCTCTGCTAGGCTTTAGGGGGTGGAGGCATGTGGGGTGGGGTGCAGGCAGGAGGGCAGCAATTCCTTCTTTACCATCGAGGGCGGGGGGGCTTGCACTAGGCACTGGTTTTGCTTCCTGAGTCAGCCAGGACAAGACCAGAAATGGGTGCCTTGAGCTGGAGACAATGAGGGGGTTCAGGGATTCAGGAGGCCTTCAGTAGGGTGGAAGCAGGAGGAGACCTGGGGGGACAATCACCCAGTGGGATAGGGCTCTGCTCATGTATGTGAGCATGTGAGACTGTGTATGTGAGAGCACATACATGTGTTTATGTATGTGGGGGTATGAGTACACGTGTGTGAGTATGTTTATGTGTATGAGAGTGTACGGATATGTGTGAACATGAGTGAGTGGAACATATATTTGTGTACGTGAGTTTGTTATGAGTGTATGTGAGTGTGTCTATGTGAGTGTGCATGCGTGCGTGTGTGTTGAGTGGGGTGAGGGAGGGGAAGGGCCATAGGACAGGACACACATGAGGCACTCATGGAGAGGATGAGGATGTCCTAAGACTCCACAGTGACAAGCCCCTTGGGAGCTCTGTTCTGGGAAGGTCTGTCCCTGAGGAGGTCCTGAGAAGGGAGGGGACCTTGCATAGCTGCACATGAGAAAAGAAGATCAGAAGAAGGCAGACATTGAGGTGAAGGAAGAGGAACTGGGGGTTTTCTGCTGCTCTACCCGAAGATGTGCTCATCCAGAAGGGTGACCAGCTGTCCCAGTTTGACACTGAGGGGCTGCAGGGATACCAGACCTTCAGTTTTAAAACTCAGACAGCCCCAGGCAAGCCACTCTGCATGAACCCTCTCTTAGGAATTTAAAAAGAGTCCTCACCCAGGTGATCTGTTCTGCACTCCTGAGCACCTCTCAGGATCCCTCGCCATGCCTGGTGGATGCAATGCCAGGACCCTCCTTGGTGGGCCACTCAACTCATTTTGAATGTGAAGGAACCACAAATAGAAAGCTCCCCATGAGAACACCTTGTGAAAGATGGCGGAGTTGTTATGTTTTGGACCTGG